CTGGCCTTTGCACACAAGGAGCAATTGACTTCAGTATTCTTGGACATTAAGGGGGCTTTTGATTCAGTTTCCATTGAAATTCTGTCAGACAATCTGCACAGATGTGGACTTTCTGGAATTTTAAATAATTTCTTGTACAATTTGTTGTCAGAAAAGCAAATGAACTTTTCCCTTGGGTAACTGACAACTTCCAGAATTAGCTACATGGGCCTGCCCCAAGGCTCATGTCTCAGCCCTCTTCTTTATAACTTTTACGTCAAAGATATCGACAACTGTTTGGCAGAACAATGCACGCTAAGACAACTTGCAGATGACGGTGTGGTTTCCGTAAGAGGTCCACATGCCGTAGACTTGCAAGGACCATTGCAAAATTCCTTAGATAACTTGTCTTCTTAGGCTAGGAATCTAGGGATCGAATTCTCGCCGCAGAAAACTGAACTGGTAGTGTTTACTCGAAAGCAGTACCCAGCCCAAATGCAGCTTAATCTTTTGGGTACCTTGGGGTCTGGTTTGATTCAAAGTGCACTTGGAATGCCCATATTACGTATTTGAAGCAAAAATGTCAGCAGAGGATCAACTTTCTCCGTTCAATTTGCGGCACATGGTGGGGTGCTCATCCGGGAGACCTCATAACGCTTTATAAAACAACTATTCTCTCTGTTCTAGAGTACGACTCTTTCTGCTTTCTCTCGGCAAGAAAAAGTCACCTAATAAAATTGGAACGAATTCAATATCGTTGTCTGCGTATTGCTCTCGGCTGTATGCACTCAACGCATAACATGAGTCTCGAGGTTCTGGCAGGAGTAACACCCCTCCAGAACCGTTTCTGGGAGCTCTCTCTCAGAATACTTATCAAATGCGGAGTGACGAACACACTTATAATTGCTAATTTTGAAGAAATTCTTGGGCTGAACACACAATCTCGATTTATGAGAATCTACCACCACTACATATCATCAGATATGTGTCTTCCTTGTTATACTCCAGACCGTGTTCACTTCACCAATCGCAGTTCCTCAATTGAATATGATCTGACCATGAAACAAGCAACTCATGGGATTCCCGATCAACTTCGACCTATTATTATCCCACGTATTTTTACTGAAAAGTACCAACAAGTCAATTGCATGAAAAGATATTTTACAGACGGGTCCCGTCTCAATGGATCCACTGGCTTCGGTGTCTTCAATGAAAACTCTAGCGCCTTCCGCAAACTTCAGGAACCTTGTTCCGTTTTTGTTGCTGAGCTGGCGGCAATCAACTTCGCATTGGGGATGATTTCCAACATGCCCGCAGACCATTACTTCATCTTCTCGGATAGTCTCAGTTCGATTGAGGCTATTCGGTCGATGAAACAAGGTAGGCACTCATCTTATTTCCTTTCAAAGGTAAGGGAGCAGATGTGTGTGCTGGTCGAAAGATCATATATGATTACCTTTGTATGGGTCCCCTCACATTGCTCAATCCCAGGCAATGAGAAGGCGGACTCTCTCGCAAAGTTGGGCGCGCAGGAAGGCGAATTGTATGACAGGCAAATTTCACACGATGAATTTTACCATTTAGTGCGTCAGAGTACCCTTTCGAGTTGGCAAACCGATTGGGACAATGGAAAACTTGGACGGTGGTTACATTCAATTAATCCTAATGTTTCTTCGAGAGCGTGGTTTAAAGGCTTGGGCTTAAGTCGTGACTTGATTCGCGTGATGAGTAGACTTATGTCCAATCACTACTCGCTAGATGCTCATCTCAATAGAATAAACCTCGTGGACAGCAACATCTGTCGGTGTGGAAACGGTTACGACGACATCGATCACGCCGTTTGGCAATGTACGGATAATGGCGCCGCCAGAGAGCGACTTTTGAATACCCTCGAGGCCCAAGGAAGACAACCCTATATTCCTATCAGAGACGTGTTGGGTACCCGCGATCTCTGCTATATGCAGTCCGTTTATGTTTTTCTTCATTTAATTCCTTTTGTCTTTTGTCTCTCTTTATTAGTTTTTGTTTGTCTTGTCCCCCGTCTCGATGAGTCTCATCGTCGCCCACTGGTCACCCACCATAGCCGGTCGAACTCCGGACGAAGCTAGAACAGCACTACCGTTCATACTGGCGACAACGCTCTGATGCAACAACGAAACCCTACCCCAAGCTCCTCCCCTGATCCTATCCTTCGAAAATGTATCCTTCTAACCTCGAGTAAGCCGCGAGTAATCGGCCCAACTCCTACTAGACATAGAATTAAGTGAATTTTGTTACACACAGTGAACAATGAATTATCGGCTCCGTAAAGCTAACGCGATTGAGCCTTCCAAATAAACGAACTAGATAAAAAAAAAGCACCTACAATGCCGACCAGCGAACCAAAATTGCGTATGCAGAGTCGCATTTGCAGCAACCACCCAATTTGAAGCGTTATCGTCGATCACATTTCATAAGAGAAGCGTAAAAGAGAAAGCGATATCATAACAAATTCTCTCTATCATACCTGTTTTCTAAGACATGGATTCTAAGTTGTTCCACCAGCAACCCAATGAGACAGCTTATAGAAGTTACATTCAATTTCAACTCCATGTTCATAAGTTTTTCCTTGATTTCGTTGAACTTCAATGAAATTCTTCAAACTTTCCTGATGTTCTTACAACTTCTTTGAAGTACACAGAACGTCTCTGAGTTTAGCATTTCCTGGAATTCTCAGATATTTCCTTAAGTTCCCAGTATTTCCTAATGTTATCAAATTTTCCCTTTAGTTCACAGAGTATCCTAAAGTTTACAAACATTTCCTGGCGTTTAAAGAACTTTTTGCGGAGTATCATTGAAATTCATATAATGTTGCTATAATTCACAGTACTCTTTTAAAGTGCGTAGAACTTACCAGGAAACCATTGCACTCCCTTGAAGCACAAAAACATCCCTGAAGTTGGCAGAATTTTCCAAAAGTTTATAGAACTTCTTTGAAGATCGAAGCATATCTTTAAAGTTTAAAGAAAATCCCTGAAGTTTGTAGAACTTCCCTAAAGTTCAAAAACATTCTCTGAAAGTTACTAAAATTCACTACAGTTCCATATAGTTTGCAGACTTTCCTAGAAAGTCGCTGAACCTTCCTGAAAGTTCCCTTAGACAAAATATGCGAACTGCAATGAAGATCCACCAGTTCTGTAGTAATTCAAGGTAAGGGCTACCTAAACTCACTGGGCAAGAGTAGCTAACATCATGTGAGTTTAATTCCTGTATTATCGGCGTTATCGGTTAAATGATTTTCAAACAAATTCGTCATGGTTGCCAGAATTTATTTTCAATCTCACCGTTGAGTCAAACATGTCTATTTATTTTTAAAAATACAAGCAAATGTTTTGCCGCACAGGGTTGCAAAGGCCACCTTCGCCACCTGCTGAGTACGGGACACAAAAATGTCGGATACCTACTATCTCGATCGTCGCTACTTAGGTGGAGTGAAATTTTTTCTTGACGGAGTCGCTTTTTCGAAGAACAAAAAACGAACGCTCTATTTTTTTTCGTGATTTTTTTTTTTTAATTTTCCAGATTTTCTACACAATACATATATAAAAAAACACTCGGAACAGGACAAAAAACAATGCCTTCTATGATTACGTGGCTGTCCTAGACTGTCCTGCTCGTCCTTTATCTTTTACTCTTATGAGGGAAGAGAAATTAAACAAGATGTTGCTCTAGCAACAAATATTAATTGATTTTGCGTAAAAGGATCAATACGAATCTTACTTGAGAGTCAAAGAGAGCTCTTTAAAGCAATTTGAATTAATTCAATCAACTTTTAAACCTTATTTAACTCCTAAGTTCAATTCGTAATAGTTTTGCTTTAGTATAGGGCCGTATACTCCTTCATAATCGGTTTTGTAAACTTCAAAACACTTTACCTCAAAAAACTCAAGGTGAAATATTTTAAAACTATCACAGATATGATTGTAAGGATCAATTTTAACATCCTGTGAAGAAAAAACTGAGGTACATGAAAGTTGCAAAAAAAGTGCCTTCAGACATAGCGTGAAGCAAACTTTGTTCGAAGAATAAGCAATCATAACAATTACGATAATATTTTTTAAATCATCCAACATTACAGAATATATTCATGTACAAATTCTGCATACTTTTTATGAAAATCTGTAAAAGAATTTTACATATCCCGGTTGGGTGTAGTGATGACCTATTGATCTGTTTCCAGTATTCTTCGATTGATGCGCCATCTGGATCGTGAAAGTTGCAGAGTTGCACCCACGTAATTCTAGTGTGTTCTTTGTTATGCTTGAAGCCCCTTGAAGTTTTGACTCATAGATTCCTTCAAGGCCACAATTCACAACGTTGTACTAGCAAAACTTCAATCTGATCTCACCAACTTGAAATGCTTTTTTAAGCGTTTCTTGTGAAGCTTTGCCTGACCTTCACAGAAAAACAAACTTAGATTAAAATTCCAAGATTTCCGAAGTTCACTAGCGAAGAATTGCAAAACCCGTTTTTGATTATATTTCGCTAGTATGTAACGCGTATCCCATGAAAGTTCAAGGTTAATTCCTCCCTGCAGCACGAGAATGGAAACCGCTCGCGCTCATCTATCAGCTTTAAATATTCATGTGATGAGGGTAGTTGGAATTACAAGACGACGACTACGACGGCGGAACAAAGATGCTGAATGTTCACTCTCCCCTCGAGTTCGTTGGTTGGTTGGTTGGTAAGCTTAAATTGTTCGGTTAATAATAGATGAAGCTCTCTGCCACTCGGAAATGCTGCTGCGGTTGCATTGGGAAAACGGAACCGACCACGTTTTCTCGGGTTGTTATGGGATATTTTTTCTCTTGCTTAGCTTCCCGTGGGTGTTGCGTGGAGCAAATGGTTTCCCCCCGAATAATCATGGTTAGATTGGGACCGATGTTTTTAGTAGGTGTTAATCGAAGATTGGTCACCATAAGATTGTGTATTGCCTTCGAATGATAAGGGGTTTATGTTTTTCTTTTTCTTTTCTTCTACAGGGCCCTAGCCGAAGGCATCCTGGCGGATAACCCTCATCTGGTGCTGCTCTTCTACCTAGCTCAACTATTTCTAAGAGAACTGATCAAAAGCCACCGGCTAGTGCAGGTCATACCTATGGATATGTCCGGTTATTATGGTAAGCTCGTGGGATCCAAAGGAGTATGAATCAATTAAAAGCTAATGCATCGATTCCACAGAAAACCGCGCCGGTCCGTCAAATCTCGGGAATGTGATAAGTCAGATTTTACTGTGCAAGCAGATAACACCCGATTTCAACCAGGAGGAACTGTGCAGTATAACCAAGGACTCGCAGGAAATCGCCAGGATACTGCAAGACTTGCAAGAGTTTATGCCCCAGCAGGAGACCTATTTAGGTAAAATGATTTACTCGTTCAAAAATTCCTGAAACCAACCGCTAATTTTCCACAGAGCGCACGATCGCCCTAACGACCGAAATCAACGGACCATGGCCAGCAAAACGCCGACGGGGCTCGCTCTACAAAAACATGGGCCTTTTGTGCTGTGTGTCGCGACCCAACTATCTATGAATATAGGAGCTAGCTGTTTCCAATAATCACTTCCAACCATCATCCTGGACCTTGCTACTGAATCTAAGTATTCCCATCGCGTCAGTATAACCTCAATCAAACACCACATCATCATCACCATCGTCGTTGCTAAAGCGACTCAAAAAAAAAACCACAAGCAGCATATAGCGAGAACCACCAAATTCCAGTACCTTTAGATAAGTTTATTTTTCTATGTGTGTTATTTAGTCTATTGTAAAGAGGAAAATCCGAAAATAGAGAGCGAAAAAGCACTGGTGCATCAGCTCGGCAGCTGCTGCACCCATATCTATTGATCTAGCTGAAACATATAATCGAAAAAAGAGAGCGTGGTTTAATTGAGGGTACTGACGGCAGTTCCATCGCTCATATTCCACGGGAATGGAGGACTTGGTAAAACTCGATGATGATCCGCTTCAGCCGCCGATCTCAACAGGGATTAAAGGCAATTGGTTCCGAAATTGGATCGCATTAGCGCCAACGGGAAAAAAGGACACCGTCCATTTTTCCCCCTTCTGTAGCAACCAACAGCACCACCGTTGTGAAGCTTTCAAACTAATCATGACATTAATTAAAGACGGTTGACCACATGGACAAAAAATAATTATGTCACCACCCACCAGCACCGCTGGCTGGCGCTGAGCTCGGGTTGGGAAAGTGCGGTTGGTGGTTTTGCCGAACCATCCTCAGTCCCGTTTCGGAAAATGCTTCGTCGTACCTGAGGTGAAAGATAAAATCCATTTGATACCAACAGTACGAATTATTCCGATAGATGTACACTGTGTACACATGCTCTCACCCTGGAATGCTGCACACTGCAGGATTGCGGTGAATGTCAAAGGGTACATGGAAAGTGCAGGGTTGCACTGACTACTGAATACAGGAATCCCCGAAATAGTGCGGGGGGTGGTGCCATCCACCCATCGCGATTTCTCGGCTCGGGTCTTCTAACCATTTGAGCTGATTTTCTATAGGCGACAAATTTAGGGTTGACGCCAATCACGTACAAAATGATGAATGTAGTCCAAAGAACATCAGAAAAAATAAGAATCCACACAGAAGTCCGGAACAGCTCATGGAAGTTCGAAGAAGTAAAGGGAAGTTTGAAGATCTTAAGGGCAGTTCCATTAATTTTAGAGCAATTACAGAAACATCCTCAGGAGAATAGAAAAAAACTTCAGGGAAGTTCTGTGAATTTCAGGAAAGACTAAAGATCTTCAGGGAACTTCAATGAATTTCACGAAAATTGTAGGAAATTAAAAAAAAAAAATTGGTGGGGTTGTGTACAATACACGACCGCAGGATTGACGTAGACTACGTTAAGCTGTGTAGTGAAATTCTCGTGCATTTTTTCTAGATATTGATTTAAAATGCAGTAGAAGTAACCTATGATTTCGGTCATATGTACATATTTTGGATTTCCTACTTAGTAAAACTTGGTTAAATTTAGGACCTCATAAAAATGCGAATACATATTCTATTTCATTCGGTTCGTAAATTACAATCAGATATGAGTAAGGCTTTCTTCAGGTGATTCATTGAAGCGTCCAACAATGACCGTCATGATGGCTGATATTCCCTAGCACTTCAAGATTTCTAGGACACAAATCTTGGACGGTTGTGACATCACTCATGAAATTGAAACTCCTTGTGTACTGGACTGCAACAAACGTGAAGTTCCAGTTTCTTTGTTATAGGTTTTGTGAGAGCTGATATATGTACTCTTGAAATTTTTATGTGGTAATGAGATTGATCAGAAATAAGGTTTCCTCAGCGATTCAATTAGCCATGAATCCCTCCAATAAGTTCTCGGTACATCTTTTATCTACCGATTGAACAAATAAAAAAAAATACTAAGGCTGTGTTCCATTTGGAAAATTTTCACTTAGATTTGACACTTCGAAAATAAATTAAGATGTTCGAAAATCCCGGTTGTAGATCGGCCGATTTTGGAGAAAGCGTCTGTCAAAATTGATTGCTTGCCTGTCAGAAATAAGTCCGCTGCATAAGCAGGTTTATTTGAAAATTTTCCATCTGTCCAATTTAAGTAAACATTCACCAAATGGAACACAGCCTTAATAACTTGAACAGAGAATCGTTCCTTGTTGTGTTTGACGTATTAGATGCTAGATAAAAACTTCTTTTATCGATATGTGTGCTGAAAATACCTGGGCCGAGTGGATTCAAGGAGAAAGTCGACGAAGAGAATCTTTTCAGTGTTACTTAGGACCTAATGAAATGTTCAGATTGAATTGTTTTGCTTAGCTGTAGCAATGTAAACAGAAAATCGATGAAGAAATCGAACATTACAAGTAGGCCCTTTTGAACGCTCACTTTCGAATTTCAGAACCTAGAAAAAACTCGACGGTACCTCTATTTATGCTAAGAGATAAGCATTGCAAGTCCCTCCTACTTGAAGAATTATGCAATCGAACTGGCTGGCTCTGCCTCGCCCCTATCAGCAAAAAAAAAACAGGGGTTGTATAAACCGTTCTATAGCATAATTTTCCATGTAGGGGGGACTTTCATAGCTAATATAAAAGCATAAATAGAGGTACCGTTTGATAATTTCAGAGCTTGGAACAGAAAACTGCAATCTGTGAAGGAAAATCCTTCTTATCACCATAGAAACACCCCGTTCCCGGTTTCTTATGCAAAATAATGAATGTGCGTTCACAAAACGCACGAAATCTTTAAAAAATCATATTGAGATATTTTTTAATTCAATCAATAAATTAAAGATATAGGGGAATTTACGTATTCTCGTCAATCTAAGCAGCGTCTGCACTTCTACTAGCATTTTCTCAGCGTCACGCACATATATGATGTGTCTGTTTGTTTACATTCACCTGCTGCTTGCTTCTCTATCCATTCCAGTCGACAGAATTTTTCAAAACGTTTTGAAAGCGTTTTTACAACGCTCCAAACTTCTCAGGTGAGTGTGACTATTGTCGGCAGTCTCTTTTTCTTCGGCAACCTTCCCATTAGAACTGCGTGTTAACCAGCTGTTCTATTATCGGCAACTCGAAATCAACCCCATTTTGTAGTGCGTATGCTTTATTTGAAGAAAAATGTAGCATTACTGGATTGCTCGATCGTTCAAATATAATCAGATTGAAGCTGAAAGGCTAAACAATCGTTTGGACACATTCAGGGAAGTGCGTTGCTGGGAAAACATAGTGAAATTAACGTTTAAATTTTGGTTGCCGAAAACAGTCAATGGGTGCCGAAGCCAACATTTACCCTACCGAGAATTAAATAGAGGGACTTAAAGCTAAAATGTTTTGATCGCGAAATATTGACTATCAATACCGAAATTTCGCATAAATGTCCAACCCATTTTGTGTGGTGAGTGCTGCTGTCTTTCAGTGTTGCCCAATGATTAGGGAACTTTCATAAATAACGTAGTAGTTGAGGGAGGAGAGGGGTTTCAAAAGTTGGGACCGGCCATGTATTAGGTGTATTGCAAAACACGCTCCGATGGGGAAGGGGGGTTAATTGGTCAAAAATATACGTCATTTATGGATGGCCCTAATTTTACTTCCACGGCTGTGTCGCAATGGGTGAGCTTAATTTAACTCGTGGCTAAAAGTGACAGATGAGTTATCGAATAACCCTGCTGTATGGACGTGGTTATTTCGGACCGACTAGAAGTTAAATTTTGGTAACCGTGGCTGAGTTCTGTTTGAAAATTGATCAATTTCATGCATTTTCGAACATTGAAAATAACTTACGAAATGTCACGTTTAACCACGAGTTAAATTTAACTCGGCAATTGGTACACAGCTCAAGAAGTATTTCTCGATTACTTTTTCGAAGGAACGTATCAGCTTTTGTAAACAACGCATTTGATCGTCGATTTGGCGTAACTGGTAGGACGCCCACGCATGCTAGTACTACCATCAGATAGGAGAAAATTTTCCCCTACCTGATATAGTGGTGTTAGTATGTGGGGCGAACTATTAGTTATGCCAAACCGACGACAAAATGCGTTGTTTACAAAAGCTGATATGTCCTTCCGAAAAGTAATCGAGATTTGTAGTTATCATTCAGGCAAGGAGCGCTTGGGCCATCGAGGCGACGCCGCTACCAGCAGCCAATGATCTCGACGGAAACGACGCGCAAAATTCAAGGTGCAAAACTCGAACTCTGCGCGCTTGACAGGAACCACCTTCCTACTGCTGCTACTGCTGCTGCTACCTACTTACCCGCCGTCCGAAGCGAAAATGAGTTGAGGCACAGTAGCAGCGCTATTTTATAACTTTTCTGATCCAAGCAGCACGATGTGCAACCAAATTGTACTTGATTATGAGGACTGGGTTTGGGGAGAACGTTTATTTCATGAAAACAGTGATAAAATTTTCACTTTTTATTTGTCAATTTTTAAAATAGTTTTTTATGAAAAATTGAAAAAAAAATTATTGCAACAGCTAACAAAAGGTATTTCCTATCGATTGGTATAGTTGGATTTTAATTTAATCTATAAATAATAAAGTTTATAGCGTTCAAAAAATTAAACCTTTTCGTGACGGTCGCAATTTTAGATTTTCGATTTACCCCCAGTACCTTCCCGTAAGACGTAGTCTACGTCAAAAAAGTTCTGATGAATGGAAAAAAGACAAAGGGAAGATTAACAAGCTGCGGGAACATGAGGGAAATTTTGTGAAAAACTTCAGGGATCTTGAAAACATCAAGGAAGTCAAGAAAACTTAGAAATGTAAATTGATGAAAATTGTGGAAACTTTAAGATAGTAGGTCTTAGATGCTAGACTAAAGAGCTTTAGAGAACTTAAGATATCTTTAGGGCAGTTCCAACAACTTCAAATAAGTACCAACAACTTCAGGGAAGGTCCAGACTTTTGGGGAAGTTTAAAAATCGGTAAGCGCGGAAGTTCCTGGAATTTCAAGGATGTCAAGAGAGCTCCAGAGATCTTAAAAATAAGTGTCAGAAATATTTCGGGAACTTCACTGAAGTCTAGAAAATTACTGGGAAGTTTAAAACTTTTAAGGATAGTTTAATTTATGTCTGAGCAGCACCAAAAACTAAAAATAAAATTGGGAGAACTTCAGGGTAGCTCCGAAAACAAAAGAATAGATCAGTGCACGTCGTCTGACGTCTAAATTTGCATAGATTTCAAAATTCAATTAGGCCTACATCATTTCTCAATCTTTTTCTACACAATAAGTTGCATTTTGTCGGGAATCTTTTGAATCCGTCAGGAAAAGTTCGGATCAATACATGGTTCCGGAGTATTTTCCGGCGTCATTCTGCGTCGGCATTCGGTTTTACTGTTCTGTAATAATTATACACACGATGCACATCATATTTTTGCACTCAAATGATGTAATTGAAAAACTGGCGGCTATACCAATGGTCCATCATCGAATTGGGTATCCCGGAAAAGTTCCAGTGCCCCCGGGGGAGTGGCCAATTCCCAACAAGAACCAAAACTGACATATCAAACTTCATGATTTCACCAAACTCTGCTGGTAATGTCCTTATTGAAGGTCCACGGTCACGCTAGAAGTGCATCTAATGCATTTGAGAGCACGCAATAAGCAAATATGCGATAAGGAATAAGCTTCAATGAAGTCCAGATACTTTCAGGAAAGTCCAGAGAACTTCTAGGAAGTCCAGAAAAAATCAGATCTTTGAGATCTTCAAGAAAGTTACGTTAGCTTCAGGCCATTTGCCTTACTTTTAAGGTCTGTATCTGTTAGATATTCATATTCTCGCTTAAATTAATGTCGTCTATTGACTGTTCTTCTGTAATGCAGCGAAAAGTTTCGTTATTATCGCTTCCGAATAAATTACAATGCAAAGTTTTTCAGCAGATCGTAAACTTTTTGCTGGTCTACAGTAATTCAGAATTTTCTCACTACGTAGCGCTAGTATACAAGTGAAATTCTCGCATGTGAAATATCTCAAGATCCTGACCAGATAGAAAGTTACTGTTTTCGACAAAGTTGTTCAGGAGGTCAAAGCTTGGCGCACAATAGTTCAGAATTTTCACACTATGCAGCGCTAGTATACATGCGAAATTATCGCACATAAAATATATCTTGACCA